ACCCAAAAAACATCTGCCTTCAGGCCTACACAGCCAGAGGAAAAAAATCGATCCATCGACGACTGACTAATTTGGCCGCTCACTAGAAATTCTGGTTGATATTCGGCACTAATAGCTTTGAAAAAATTGTGAGCTAACAAAGACACAAATCATTACTGTGAGAAAAAACTCAAAAACTAAAAACTCATCAAATTCGGCATGTGAATGCGTCTGGGTACCGACAATGCGCTTGTTGCTACGAACGGGCAACCAGTCGAGTGGGTTACTAAAGATGGCCGGAAGGAATTTCCATTTCATTGTGTCACGGAAAGGGAATGCCAGTCTTACTGATCCACATTGTGCTCCGAAAATATATTTCAAAAGTCCTATCCTTTGGCATTCTAGTGCTTCAGTTTTCGGCAATATCAGCAGGATCCTAATGGCATGCGTGAGATGAGCCACAGTAAAGTGGAGCCTTTAAAAAACTTCATTGAGGTTCGATGGAGAAAGTCGTGTAATTTGTCATTGGTGTACTCACTGAAGGAGGATGAGTACACGGAAGAAGAGAAGGACAATGCACCAGTGCATCAGGAACAGTTAGACGAGGAGAAAGAAGAATTGGAAGAGCTTCGCGAGTCTCATCTGATTTAATCGCCCCTTCATTTATTATCGAACTCCTTAAAACTTTTGGATGAATTTTGTTGATCTAAGGGAATGGAAGTGGACTAGGGGTCATTACCCTTATGACCCTCTTAAAGTGTTTTATTGTGTAAGATATTCGACAGATAAACTGGTGTTGGATAATGTCCATATTTCGATGGGCCAACATCAGGCCATAGGAGGACCAATCCATTGTTTTTAGTGGCCCCTACGCCAAATGGGCGTTCACATGCGTGCAACGAGGAGGTATGGGTAAAGAGAGGACATGTGCTCAACCATCGCCAAAGGTGATTGAGTTTCCATATTTACGATTGGCAGCATGTGCACACGAACTTTAAAACCTGTTCCTGTACTGAAAGCTTCCGTATAATGTATGTACTTTGCAGTTAGAAACAACAGTAAATGCCATTTTTCTGAGCAACAGCGCACGATTCACGTAAGTTTATGGACTGTTATCTTGTAGACGACTCTCACATGCGGTCATCACTGAAAAGCCGGAAGGAAGCAAGAAAATGTTTCCTCCTCTGGCCAAAAACTGATCCTGTTTATATTGCAGGATAAGTAGCATAAGACTGCCAAATGGTACGTAAAGCCTGCTTTCTACGAATTAGTTGTTCGTTCTTTAAATTTTATGCCACAACTGCTTTCCCTTGAGTACATCTTGATTGCCATATGATGGAAATTCAGTGACAGAGCTGACGCCATGCTAACCAAGACTTCAAAGGCGTTTAAGCTTAAGGTTAATAAATAAAGTATGTCAGACACACCACGCTTTTGAATGGACCT